TTTTTTTTTTTTTTCTTTGCTAGGTTTGGGATTGGTTTGCTGTTCTTTTTCTAGTTCCTTGAGATTATTCATTAGATTGTTGATTTGTGATCTTTCTGTCTTTTGATGTAGGCATTTTAAGGCTATGAGTTTTCCCCTTAAGACTGCTTTTGCTGAATCCCACAGATTTTGATAACTTGTTTCCCCTTTGTCATTTACTTCAAGGAATCTTTTGATTTTCACCTTAATTTCCTCCTTGACCAAAGGATCATTCAGCAACAGGTTGTTTAATTTCCATGACTTTGTTTATATTTATTTGAGTGTTTCTCTGGGAATTTGATTTTGAGTTTTATTCCACTGTGGTCTGAGAAGAGATGTGATATGATTTCAGTTTTTTTGAATTTGTTTGAGACTTGTTTTGTGTTCTAAGATATAATCAGTCTTGGAAAACATCCCATATGCTGATGAGAAAAATATATATTCCGTAGTTTTTGGGTAGAATGTTCTCTACATGTCTGTTAGGTCTGTTTGTTCTAGAGTCCTGTTTATGTCCAGTGTTTCTTTATTCATTTTCTTCTTCGATGGTGTGTCCAGTTCTGTCAGTGGAGTGTTTATGTCCCCAGCAATTTAGGTGCTACTGTTTATTTCTTTGCTTTTATCTAGAAAAATTTGCTTTATGTAACTAGGAACTCCTGTGTTAGGTGCATATATACTTAGGATTGTTATGTACTTGTGTTGAATTTCTCCTTTTACCATTATATAATGACTAGTTTTTTCTTTCTTTACCATTGTTGATTTAAAGTCTATTTTATGTGATATGAGAATGACTACACCTGTTCTCTTTTGGTTTCCATTTGCATAGAATATTTTTTCCATACCTTTACCTTGAGACTGTGTGAGTCCTTTATGGTTTAAATGTGTTTCTTAGTGATGACAGATACTTTTGTTGTGTTTTTTCATTCATTCGGCCACTCTATATCTTTTAAGTGGGGACGTTCAGACTGTTTACATTGAGTATTAGTATTGATATGTGGGATACTGTTCTGTTGGATACAATCTGTTGGATGACACCTTATTGCTTTGTTTTCTGTCTTGTGCTATTGTTTTGTTAGAGCCATGAGTTATAACTTTTGGGTGTTTTTACACTAGTGGGCACCTGTTGTGCTATTGCTTGTATAATATACTTTTGAGCATCTCCTGTAGGGCAGGCCTAGTATTAACAAATTCCCTTAGTGTTTGCTTGTCTGGGAAAGACTTTATTTCTCCTTCATTTATGAAACTTATTGATAGTTTTGCAGGATACAAAATTGTTGGCTGGTAGTTACTTTGTTTAAGGAGACTAAAGATGGGACTTCATTCCTTTCTGACTTGTAAGGTTTCTGTTGAGAAATCTGCTGTTAGTCTGATGGGTTTTCCTTTGTAAGTTACTTGCTCTATTCACCTCACAACTCACAGGACTTCCTCCTTTGCACTGATTTTGGCTAGTCTGATGACTATAAGCCTTGGTAATGTCTTTTTTGCAATGAATCTCCCAGGTGTTCATTGGGCTTCTTGTATCTCGATGTCTAAATCTCTAGCAAGACCAGGGAAGTTTTATTCTATTATTCACTCAAATAGGTTTTCCAGGCCTTTTGCTTTTTCTTCTTCATCCTCAGGGATGCCTATGATTTGTATATTTGTCCATTTTATATAATCCCATATTTCTTGTAGACTTTGTTTATTCCTCTTGATCCTTTGTTCTTTATTTTTGACTGACTGAGTTAATTCGAGAACTTTGTCTTCAAGCTCTGAAATTATTTCTTCTGCTTGGTCTAGTCTATTCTTAAAACTTTTCATTGTGTTTTGTGTTTCCCTAAATGAATTTTTCATTTCCAGAAGTTCTATTTGTTTTTTTTTTGATATATCTATCTCTTTAGTAAATTTTTCATTCATTTCCTGAATTATTTTCTTGGTTTCTTTGAGTTGGTTTTCCATTTTCTCATAGATCTCATCAAGCTTCCTTACAATCCATATTTGGAATTCTTTATCTGTCATTTCGGTATTTCAGAATTTTCATTTTGGTTGGGATCCATTGCTAGAGAGTTGGTGCATTCCTTTGGGGGTGTTCTTTCACTCTTATTTTTCATAGTTCCTGAGTTCTTGTGCTGATTCCTTCTCATATGGAGCAATTGTCACTTCTTGATTTTGGGTTTTCTTTTGTTTAGATGGGGCTTTCCCCACCCCCCTCACTCTTAAGACATACAACATATATCTGTAGCCTGTGTTGAGTAAGGACCTTTGGCTTTGCTTCTGGGTACTTTGATGGGGGTCTAGGTTCTGGATGGATACCTTTGTTATAGATAGCCATAGTGTGGTGATTTTCTCAGTTGCTAGTTATTTGTAGGACGTAGTGGTGGTATGCTATGTGTGTGGGTAGATTCGCTGTTTCTTGTTGATGAGGTAAGATGAGGTCTTTGAAATCCTTTCTTTTTCCCCAGCCCTATTGTCTTCTTAACAATATGAATTATATTGTGAATGATCAGTTTAATCTTTGAGACAGTAGGTTGTGCTTGTGGGTAAGAATCAGCCATACCCTATATGATTGAGTCAGTAAATCCTGTAATGGGCTGTACAAGTTGTTCTCCCTGCCAGTAGGTGGTGTTTGCAGGAAAGAGCCAGCTGCAGTGGTGTTTTTTGGGACCTTTGACTGGTTCTGGTCCATCAGGAGAAGCACTTGGATGCCCCAGGTGGCGGGTGGGGCCCTGGAGCTCCCAGGGGACTCTTTCTTGTACTCCACCACAGCAGAAGCAGATGGAAGAGTGAAGCTGGGAAAGGCTGAGTCACATGAGCCTATGTAGAATACTTTACTCCTGATTGTGTCTCTCTCTCTCTAATGAAATGAAAAGAGAATGAATCAATTGTTCAAAGCAATCTGTAGTCAACAACATCCAAATAGAACATGATAGGAGTTGCTTTGAATTTTAATTTTGTTTAAAATAGAGAACTGTTGCCACAGTGCCCAAAGTGGGACTCTCGCTGACATGTTCAGGTATTTGTCTGTTTGTTTGTCCTGCCTAACCCATCAGCCATTCTGGATTCCCTTTGATCATTTATTTCTCTTTCTAGCTTTGATGGTCTGGTTTTCATTCTGTAGTCCACAGGATATTTTGTGGGCATGTTCCTTTTCAAATTTTTCTTCAAAACAATAGTACAAAAACAGTCACAAACCCATTATAAAGATTGTTGAGTTTTACAAATATCCCATCACGTCAGTTAATAACAATTTTACCACAATAGGACAGATATCAAACCAAGATTCATTATTAGAGATGTAGCCTAAACTGATTCTGGAGAAGGCATCCATTGGATTTTTCATTTAGTATAATTAGTCATTATTATAAATGCAAAATCCTGTGACTATGAACCATTTAGTAATATAAGGAAAGTCTTGTTATACAACTTCAGATTTATTAAAACATCAAAAATTTATTGAGCACATACTGTGTTCCAGACACTGTGCAAAATAAGTGATGCCTAAACTAAAATATCAGCCCTGACCTGATTAAAATATGACTGAAAGTTTAATGGAGAATTTTATTTTAAATATATATAGTCAAAAACAATCCTTAGGGCTTACAAACTTAATGGTTTATATGCAGAAGAATGTCTTATGATATAATTGGTTTTAGACACAAATTTACGCTGGAAAGGCAATGTAGAAAAATATAAACTTGAACCAAGAAACCAAATCTATGTTCCTGCTTTGCTGCTATTCATTCATTAATTCATCAAATATTCATCAAATTATTCATTATTCATCAAATATTTACTGAGAGCCCACACTGCGGGAGAAATCGTGTTGGGTACTGGGGAGCATGGCAGCAAATGAGAGAGACCAGCGTCCTGTTCTCTGTCTGTGTGAACATTAGCAGGTGGCTTAACCTCTCCATGGCTTTAACCTTGGGTTAGACTAGATGCCTGAAGTTTCTTTGAAACCTGAAATGCTGAGGTTTGTGACAGGCTAGGTAGAAGCTGCCAAATGGCCTTGGGACTTGAGGACGTACCTTCCTCTCAGAAGGTTAGCTTTTGTTTTGATTTCAAAATAATTTTGTATACACAGTTTTAAAATAATTTGGTCAGCCTCTCATTTGCGTTTGGGTCATCTTGCCAAAGTGTGGGCGTGGCAATTCATGCTCATGAGACTCAAAGGTAGGAAGTCAAAAGAGGGAAATGGTGGATGACTTTCATAAAATCATGGCTCCACAGCCCAGTGAACAGTTTCCTTTGTGTTCTCACCTGGCCTTCCAACCAATAACTAGGCTTCTCCTGCAGCAGTCCCCATTGCTTGGGTGACCCGTTGCTCTTTTGCTCTAATGAGCCTCAAAACGGGATTGCTCATCATGGGACCAGAAGTGATCAGCTTTGTGGGGTGGGAAGAACTGTTCTTACCTCTCACAGTTTTTCCATTGAGTGTCAAGGTAACAAGTTTCTTGTTATCTGGCTTCATAATTGCAATAAGTAAATAGCTTTTTTGCTTGCAGCCAAAATGACTTTTTCAAGGGAGAGAAGGGGATTTCTGCAACAGCGAGAGAGAGAGAGAGAGAGAGAGGAGAGACAGAGAGAGAGAGAGAGAGAGAGAGAGAGAGAGAGAGAGAGAGAGAGAGAGAGAGAGAGAGAGAGAGAGAGAGAGGAGGGAGAAAGAGAGGGAGAGAGACATGAGGAGGGAATGAAGCAGGGAGGGAGGCAGAGAGGGAGGAGAGAGATTTGAACATACATTGCTTCAAGAATATAAAAAGTTACAACATGGGCAATCCTTCGAGTAACTTTGGGGAAATGAGCTGCCAGACTCCTCGGCCAATCTTGTCATTTCTAGTCAATGAAACAGACAGGGTTTGAAGTTCCTTCCGAAACGGGGCCGGCTAATTTAGCCCCTCCCACGAGCGCAAGGTTCTGTTATATCTCTGTTCCTTGAGTACCTCTCTCACTGAGACGGACCACAGCAAGCAGAGGCTGGGGGGAAAAAAACCAAAAAATCAAAACAAACAAACAAAAAAAAAACCAAGGAAAGAGGAGGAAAACAAAGCCTGCTACTTATGGAAGATATAAAGGGTAAGACCAAAATTGATTTGATCCAAATCCTTAAGGGAAAAAAAAAAAAAAAAGAGGAGGGAAAAAAAAAAAGCCCAGACCAAAAGCAAGTACTTGAAAGAGCAGGAGGCAAAAAGCCCTGAATGAACTTTCCCACCCTCTTCCTTCTGAGAGGAGGCAGAGAAAGAACTTTGGGAAACTTTTTAGGAAGCGGAGCCCAGGGTTGTATGTAGTTAAGGGTGGCTCTGGAGCAAGCTGGAAGGGCTCATGAATATTCATTAACAATTTGTATTCAGATCTGGGTTTTTAGATGCAAATAACTTTTTTCAGTCCCCTTGCAGTTTAAGAGGCAGCTGCCTCATCTACAGTCGGGAGTCATCTCGCCTCGGATCTGTACCTCAGTGTGTTTGCTGGAAGATGCTGGGCTCTGTGTGTAGATTTGTTTTGTTCTTGAATTTCCTGCTTGCTTTCCTGTTGTGAAATTAGCAAAGGCTTCTCTGCTGTGAGTTGACAGAGAAGTTAATGTGGCAAGAGGCTGTCACCACAGGACACCAGAGTATGTCTTTCAAAAAGCTAAAAGTTTCTTAAGATGTGGGGGGAGTTCATATGGGGGGGGTGGAGGGGGACCAGGGACGGCGGAAAGAGGAAAAAGAATAGTTCTGTCTTAAAATAGCAGGTCATATCTGACTGACTACATTTAGATTTTTGTCTAAAACCTACAAGAGCAGCCTAGTTTGCACAGATGGTGTGCAGTCTCTGTCTTTTACCTCTTTTGGGCATTTTCTGCCAGGACGGAGAGCCAGCTGCTTGCCAGCCTGTGGAAACCAGGAAGAATCTCTGCAGCAGTGAGGGAGTGTAGAGTTGCAAACCTTCTTCATCATCTCTAACTTCTAATATTTGCATAGAATGGGTAGGAATAGGATGTAGTAGCCAACACATTTCTTAATGATTATAATAATGATAGCTGTTAATGTTGTAGTCTCTATTCTGTCCTGGGAGCTGTACTAAACATATTACACGTGGTATTTATTTGTTGCATTAACCTTATGGGATAAGTGCTATCGTTATCATCTCCATTTTCCAGATGACGGATTAAGTTGAGGTACTGAGAGTGTAACTTGCCTTGGGATCACGTAGTAAGTGGTGAACTTGGATGTGGGCAGTCTGAGCCTGAAGGCTTTTCCACTCCCCCGTTGCTCTGCTTTCTCTGGTGCCCTGACATTGTAGATTCCAGCTTTGCAAATATTTGAAACTCTTGGGGAAATGAAACTGATGAAATCTCAAGTCTGTGAAGGAATTTGTACTTTGCAATCAAGTTCACGTACAGTTTTCTCATTTAGTGCTCATGGCCATTCTCTGTGGTAGAGAAGCAGGTATTGTTATTATGGCCTTTTACAAAAGGGAGAAGCTGAGGCTGGGGTTAGGTGACACAAATCACACAGCTAGTTGTTGAAAGTCTGGAGGAGACCTGCAAAGCAAGCCCAGTCATCTCTGAACTTCTGTTCCTACCCCCAACTGGGCGTCACTGAGTTGCTTTCAGTTCCCCAAGGGAACTGCTCCTTTCCTTCCTGTCAGACTGCTGCGGGACCCTTTCCTCTGCCCTTTCCTTCCCCTTTAGTCTGGAGCCAGCCTGCCTTGGTTTGAATCCTAGCTCCACCATTTACTCTGTGCCTCAGTTTCCTCATCTGTAAAATGAAATACATAATAATAACATGTGTCTCATAGGGGTATTGTAAGGACTGAATGAGGGATCCATGTAAGGTTCTTAGAACAGGACCCAGTGTGTAGAACATGCTGAATAAATCACTCCTTGTAGCCTGATCTTGGGTGTTACTCCCCCCTTTAAGCCTTCTCTGACCATTCAGACCTAGATCAGGCCCCATTTTGGATGTTTCTACAATACCTCACCATTTATGCCTAAGGTGGCACTCATAATACTTGTCCACATTCCTGCCCTCCATACCAGCTTACCCCCCTCCCCAGTTGGAATTTCTTTAATCACCTTTGGTACTGCAGTGTCTAGTGCAATTTTTTCTTCAGTCTCCAGACTCATGGCAACTTTATTGTTAGTGTGGGCAGGGTGGTGGGAGAGGGGCCTCAGTCCTGATAGAGGCACAGGAGGCAGCTACAAATGGTGCCCATGTAGCAGTCCCAGAAGGTCTGGCGCCAGTAAGCCATCCAGGGAGTGGACAGATGTTAAATACTGAGTCAGGAAAAGCCACACGTCATTTAGTGGCCAGTGGTCAGGGTGGCAGAGTTCCATAAACTTCTCCACAAGGTCCACAAACAGGTCTCTGATGTCCTTATTGTGTGTCAGGTTGACAGCCATATTCACTAGCCCCTGGGACAGGTTTTTGAAGTTGGTGTCTATCTCAGAGAATATGCCAAGCTTTCACCAGAGGGTAGTGAACACCAGGCTCTTGTGCAGGTCCATGAGGTCCTTGTCAGCCACTAGTACCTTGAGCTTCTTAATGGGCAGTAAATAAATATTTAGTAACCTTAGTATTGTTATTTTAGCTGATGATCATTTAAGAGTCAGGAGGCTGGTTTAAAAGGGGACTTTTGATTTTTGCCGTAGGCAAATACAGTTCTTTTACACAATCTGTAAAGACATCCCCGTAAATAGATACACTGAAAAACAAAATGCATCCCTTCCAGGTGGATACTTTTCATAGGTGATGCAATACCAGGGCACCTGGTTCGGCTCCTACTCCCTGTTCAGCCAGGGGCCAAACTGGGTATTTCAGATGCCTCATAGAACAATTTTGCTATCTCTGAACAGAACATCTGGCTCCATAAATAGTGTCTCCCCAGCCCCACTTTATAGCAACCTTGCTGTCTGAAACAATGTACTCTGGTAATGAAAGAAAAACAAACACTACAGAAGTTGGCCCTGGGTAAAATCATAAAGTACATTAAGGTTTTTTTTTCTAGCACCCTCCCTTTCCTCTTCCTGGCATACCTTCAAACCAATTTGACAAATATTATTGTGCGTCTACCATTTGTGTGTCCCTATGCCAGATGCTTGGGATATAAACAGTTTGCTGATGGTCTAGTTGGGAGGACAGACATATTCACGACCCACTCTAATTGAAACCAGACTCTGTGAAGTGCTAATCACAACAGCTAACATTGATTATTTGTTATGTGCCAGACACCACAATGTTTTATATGCATTGTTTCATAATCTTCGCAAAAACTCCATGATACTGATTTCTGCATCTTACGGCTGTGGAAGGAGGTCACTTAGCCAAGGGCACATAGCTAGTAATAGGCAGAGGGGGAATTTTGACCCATGTAGTTAGGCTGCAAAGCCTGGGATCCTAGTGGATGAGTTCTACCTCTCTAAGAGTTGTAATAAAAGTCTACAGAAAGTGCAATGGCACTGTGGCATGTGCCTAGTAGTCCCATCTACTAAGGAGGCTGAATCAGGAGGATTGCTTGAGTCCACAAGTTTGAGGCTGTAGTTCACTATGATTGTGCCTGTGACTAGCCACTGCACTACAGCCTGGGCTACATAGTGAGACCCCTCTCAAAAAAAATAATGAAAATGCCATTAGAAACAAAACAGGGAGTGATGCCTTCTGCGAAAACTTCTCAAAGGGTGGGGATGGGATACTTCATTTGGAACTAGAAAGATGTATAGAGTCTGGTGTCCATGACAGGCCCCTTCGCTGCCAAGCAATGCCTAAAGATCTTTTCTCCTTTTACCAAAACTACAGCCTAGATTTAAGAATAAAAAGTTCCTTCTCCTTTTCCAAGTTCTGAACAGGCAATCTATTTTCCTGTCCATCTTGGAGATTTGAAGGCAGAAGTCCAGAGTTTATCCTTGACTATGAGTCATGTAACCAAATAAACCTTTACAAAGTAATCAGCATGTTAAATGATTTCTTTAATCATGATTGTCCTGCATGGTGATAATGTACATCTGGTAGATGGCTTTTACACGTGATTGTGATTGGCATGCTTTTACTTGACCAAACCTCATTTTAAGAGTGTTTTCTCCCTTATGTTGTGTTTTTGGTTGCTTCTCTGCTGTTCATAATCAGTAATGGTACTCAACAGCAGTAGCATTTATTCCCGCCTCTACTGTCCAGCGGTGCTGGGCTCAGCCTGTGCAGAGCGAAGGTGAAGCCTGGGGTAAATCGCATGGAGTCTGTTCTTTGAAACATTTTGGAGGGAAGCCAAAATCAAGGGCAGCCCCTGTAGTGAAGAATCATCAAACATCTTGATGGTTCGATGGAATCCTGGAAGAGCCAAGGCACTAATTTTTGTCTTGGTGATTGTGTGTGTGTGTGTGTTCTGAGGAAGTGCCTCTCAAACTTTAACATGCACATCCATCATTGGAAATCTTGTTAAAATGCAGATTTTGATCCAGTAGCTGTGGGGTGGGGTGTGAGTTTCTGCATTTCTAACAAGTTCCCAGGTAATGGTAATGCTGCCCCTCCATAGGCCACACTTTGACTAGCAATTTTAAAGGGTCACTCCATGCTTTGGTCTCAGGGCTTATTTTGGTACCAACTAACCAAGTCCTGCTCCCACACCTGCTACCAAGTTACCACTTTGAGTCATACTGATCAGCTTTCAGTGCAGGATGATGGGAAGCCTGATTCATTTATTCATTCAGCAAATACACAATCTAGAAGAGGAAATTGAGGCCCCCAATTTGCCAAATCCTAGAAACAAATCTGAATCATCAGCACACACAAACTCTTGTTAGGCAAAAAGGCCTTTTGTTGGATTTCCTAAATATTTCCACCTTTTCTACATGGCTCCAACTTTCCCTGAGCTTCCCTTATTCTCTGCCACCAACTTGAGAAGTACTGGGACAGAACAGGGAGCTGGGGATAGCAGAGACTCAGGGCTCTGAGATTGGGATCAGGGAATTGTTCCCTTTCTGCACAGGAGAGGTGGGAATCATCCTAGGTGCAAAGGAAGGAAAGTGGGTGCAGAGAGGACCGATGAAAATTCTTTAGGTCTGGAAACTTGGGATTGTGAGGAGAAAAGAAGTTGCTGGAGGA